GGGGGGGTGTTTCAGCTCTGAATTCAGTGAATTTCCAGAGGAAAGACGGCGAAAGCTCCCCTTGAAATCGCTGACCTGTTAACATTCCCAGTTTGTAAATGAAGCACGAACCGACCACGGAAGAAGTATGCGTTCATACAGATGGGTAAGCAGATGGGTTGTGCAGCAAGCTCCACATCGAAGAGGCCTTAAAGTTGATGAATTAGTCAACTGATTAATAAAAATATATCCAAGTCGGTGTTTCTCGCCGATTGTCGATCGACGACGTGTTGTTGCGTGCTGAAAACTCGCACCAGTCTCTCGTTTCCAAATAGAACACCTGACAGATTTTGTATTTCACGCCGATTTTCACGCCAACATGTAGGTAGTAAAATCCGACAGCGTGCCTTTTGATGCGCTGTTTAATTCAAAACTGTTTATGCACAAGTGTTTTGATCATTCAGTTCTAAATAGTTATTTTTCCTCGAAATAACTATTTATTCCAGGAGCTGATATCCTTAAACGAACGTATATTTGCCAATAGAACTGGAAGAGTCGGGGAGAGGTTTACCTCAAAAAATTATAATAGTTACTTTTCATTCATTTTTTTTTATTTCCATCATAAAGATAATGCTTAGAAGGAATAGCTACGGTGTACTAACGTTAACAAACTTGAGTTGCTTGATCGTCTGACTAAAAAATTGTTAACAGAATTCTTTTGCAGAGGGAAAAAGTGCAAGTTTCTCGTTCGTTTAAAGGTTTAGGCAGACGAACAGGAATTCCAAAGGGTCTGAAACAAAAGTGGAAAATTCCGGAGGAGAGGGGGTGTTAGCAATTTTGGAATTCGGAGGGCAAGGGGGGGATAAGCATTTTGGAATTTCCGAGGGCAAGGGGGGGGTTAAAATACTCATGCCACCTGTGGTAGGGTATGGATATTTTCTGGAATCACCCAATGCTGTTCATGGAGGCCATTTGACATTTTGTCTGAAAATTTGCAAACTTGTCCCAAGGGTCTTCTAATTTTCAAAACCGACAAGCCCCTGGGACGAGATCAAACTAAAATAAAGACAGACTTATTATAAATGATAGTTACCCCGGCTGAAATATTAGTCCATAGTGCACTAAAATCCACAAGGCTACTTAGGTAAAAGTTGCTGCTCAGAGAGTTGATCCTGTCAAATTGAAAAACAAGATGGAGATGAATAATAATATAGACGAACCTCTCCTATGCAAACGGATCAAATTAATTTAAGGATCGGTAAAATGCCAAATATGTTTTGTTTGCTTTCTAACGTTTTGTTAGGGGAAAACAACTTATTACTTCAGAAGTTCAACTTTACTAAAACTATTGTTAATTTGTCAAAATTGATACAGTCAGCTTTCTTTCTTGTTTACAAGTTTGAAATCCGCTGTCTATAAGGGTATGTTTTGTTTGCTTTCTAATTAATGTTTTGTTAGGGGAAAACAACTTATCACTTCAGAAGTTCAACTTTACAAGTCTTACTTGATCAAAACTATTGTTAATTTGTCAAAATTGATACAGTCAGCTTTCTTTCTTACTTACACTTGAAATCCGCCATCTATAAGGGTTTTTACTACTGAGCCTTTCCATGCCTGGAGCACTGTTCCTTTTATTGCCTATTATGAAATCATAATCAATAAATGAGATTAAGTCATAATTAAATTAATAAATAAGATTTAATAACACCCAGTAATCTGCAGGATATTTTCACAAAACAGCTCTTCACCCAGGCGAATAAGGTGCATGATATATAATACATAATGCTTACAGCGGAAGTTGATATCAAAGCCTCTTGCCAGGCATATGGAATTTTTCCCTTCTGTACTAGAAACTTCATTAGTTCTTGCTCTAGGCTTTTGGTATCTGTGTAGAAAATAACCACCCAAGTTATTGCATTTACAGAGATTTGCTTTTACCTGAAGTAATGCTTGACAACATACTAGGTCAAACTTAAAGTCATAATGATGAAATCATATTAAGTCATAATGAAAGCTTGCATCCAGTATTCACTCAATTAACTGCCGCATTTTGTACAAAGAGGTAATTAATAAGTGGTGTCCCCAAATGAGGGCTGTAGTCAGTCACTCTTTAAGATACACCATACGACTGATTTCAATTATTGAAACCAAAAGATACTAATTCTGTAGTTTAATACAAAAAATAAAAATGCCATAGTTAAAAAAAGCCTTTTGTCGCATTTGACCAACTTTCAAATAAATGCCTCGATCCTCCCAAAACTGTCCTTAGCTATTAATGAAAAACCACACTATCTTCAATCACTTCAAAATGAGAAGTTCTAATTTAAATATATATTCATTTGTAACAAATGTCAACCTAAAATCACTTGTTATAGGTATTTTTTTTATCATAGGTAATTTTATTTTTCTTTTATTTCAACTTCATTAGCATACATTACCATATCCAAAAAGAAAAGAAAAAGAAAAATTACCTAGATAAAAAACTAAGTACAAACATATACATGTAACGTTAAAGAGTGATTATGTTTCAAAGTTTTCATTATGCCACAATCAACTTTTTGTAATTAAATTGACCTACTTTGTATACTGCACAAAGTGGATGTTGTAACTTCATCTAAACCCAGGTGAAAGAACTGGTCTGGAAACAATGTCATCATTTCTTCAAGGATATTTTTCATTGTGGTAAGAGTTACTCCCTTGTCGAAGCAAGTACACCATAAGACTCATTAATAAAAGTAATGGTAATAATAATCATCATCATAATAATAATAATGATAATAACAATAATAATAATTATTATTATTATAGTAATAATAATAATACTAATTGGATATCATATACATGTCTGAGTAAACAAACACTGCTAACATGTATTAACTAAAGGACTCAAACTACGGAAAAACCTTCTCATAATGATAAATTATATTTTTTAAACTAATCAAGCCTTATGAAAAGAGGTTTTAGTGTTATATCTGCTACATAATTAATAATTAATTATTAATTATTGATTAATTGGTGTTTTGTAATAATTTAATAGAGGACACTTCAACTTGAGGACTTTTGCCAAGTCCTGAGGGGAAACCAGATCACCCAATAACACTTAGTGAGGCCCTGCCAGGGTAAATTCCCACAAGCGACGTGGCCCAAAAAGTCGCGACAGTGCATAAAATGAAATCGCGACAAGAGACAACCTCCCTCGGCCAAATTGTGACAGTGACGGAAAAGCCGACAATAAGCGACAAGCATTTATAAACACCGACATGAGACGTTTTAAAATTCAGATGGGCGACATAATTGACCCCCCCCCTCCCCCGGCAGGGCCTCCATATGAACAAAAAACAATGGATTTATTTACTTTCTTGAAAATTTTGCTATTAAATAGCACATCAGCTTTGTAGTAGAATATTAGACAGGTATGAGAAGACTTTAAAAAATTAAAGCAATAAGAAGGCTCCAACAGTCTCCACTTTTTCTACTTGCTTTGGTAGTTCACTCAGCGCTTTAATCAACCTTGTCAACTGCCTGTCAGTAGAAATCTCGAGGTTTACCTTCCTTGGTTAAAAAATTTTCTTATGTAGCCAAACAGATAATCAGCAATAGTCATCAGTAGTCATGGATATTTTGAATGGAAACTCTGAGAGTTGATTGCAGTTAATCCTTTAAGTCCCAATAGTGACCAACAGCAATTTTCTCCTAACGATACCCATACATTGTCATGAGATGAGGTTATGAGAATTAATAAAATGATCACCTAAGAGAAAATACTTTGATCTTTTATCAAGTTCTCTTAACTAATTCTTAAAGGAAATGTATAGGGATCAGTTTGGGGAATTTGTTTGTGGATATTGGGGCTTAAAGGGCTAATCTTACCTGTGGGTCATTATAGAGTTCAAGAAATCCTGAATCATTGCAGAATCTCAGTCCTTTTGTTTTGTTGATCAGACCAATCATTCCAGCAACATGGGAACTGCATAATAACAAATATAACATAACAATGTGAAATAAACCAACTGACAAACAAGTAAGTGTGTTTTGTTTGCTTCCAGAGGGGAAAAACAGGAACAACCTTACAAGACTTGTAAAACATAGCAATAATATTACACATGGACCACAGGCATGCTGACACTTACAATCCATGTACATAAAAACTGTATGTCTGAGAGCCTTTCCACCCTTCATTATTGAAATAAATGTTTCTTTGTTGAAGTAGGGCATTATTATCAACTGATTAGGTAGCTGACTGTTCTATCACAGACAGAACACAAGGGAATCTGGTGTTTGGTGCAAAGCCAGCTTGCCCCTTCCCTCTCCCCCACATCCACCCCTCCACAGCCATAAAATTCGATCCTCAAGAGACCTTTGTCACGTGGCAGCCATTTTGTCTCAGGGATTAAAAAGCTTTGTTTAGGCATGGCTAGCCTCGTTCTCTCTACAAGGCTAGCCGTGCATAAACAAAGCTTTTAAATCTCCTGAGACAAAAGGGCTGCCGTGTGACAAAGGTCTATGCTTATACCCTGTTTTATTTTTAATTGCAAACTTTCGCTGATTCAACCTCTGGAATAACTCTTATTCCTCTGTCACCAGCATAAGATACTAAATCTTTGATTTGCTCCTGGGTATAAAACTGAGTTGTCCTTTCTTGTAGTTCTGGGTAACTGAAAAGAAAAAGCGAAAAGATGAAACACATCAATTTTGTATTTCAATAAAAATTATTGTAAACCATTCCCACAATCCAAAGAACAAATTATTAACTCAAGGCACAGTTTCAGGCAGCCTTTCTTGCAAGCTTATTTTATATAGGGGAGCTCGAATTTCATCCCTCCCCATAAATGTCTACTCGACCGGGTGGTACCAGGGGGTGCTGGAATACGTGGGATATAAACTATTCGATATGTGCCGTTGTGAAGGGAATGGTTTTCAAACAGTTTAGTCTGGAATAGGGTAGTTTTTTTTATTAAAAATCAGGGAGTTCTTGCCATTTTGGTTGGTTGCTTATGAAAATTTCAACTGTACTTTGAATACTCACAGTTTGCTCTGTACACTGAATCTACACCAGTCCAATATATGCAAGTGAAGCACATTTAACTTCACAAAGCTCATGCCATCCAAAATGTTCTTCACAAGCTCAAAGGGAAAATACCTACGCCTGTAAAAAAAATATACAGTCAATAGCAACAAAACCTTTCAACCACCACTGAATTATTAATTATTGAGAGATGAATGCATGATGCTCACCCAGTGTCTAACATAAGGCCCCTGTGTACATATTGCGGTTGGTCATCAATATTGACTGTACTGTTTATCAAATTTCCGTCTACAATCAATTGAGAAAAAGTTTCCATTCCATACCTGCAAGAGGAGTCAAAATTAATTGGGTACCTTTAATATCTGCTTAATTGAAGTGCCCTTAGATTAGCTGGTATCCACTTCAGGATCCTGCCTATCATACTGCAGATTTTAACTTGACCTCAAGAACAGGGTTTTAACCCAGAAGCGAGGAAGGGGCCGGGGTGGAGGGGGGGAGTGGGGTTGGGGGTTTTGGTGGGCGGAGGTGGATAATGCTATGTGGGATATATAGCTGTCATATATAGGTATCAGGCATTCTCTTTTTCCCTGTCTTCTCACAAAAATGAAATGCCTGATCAGGCCAGTGCAGGTTCAACTCACCATGGATCCTGGCTACAGTATATCTACTGCCAGGTTGTCGTAAAATGAACTTGGAATCACTATCTTCCTTCAAATCTCAATTTCTCTTTACAAAGGAGTTATCAGAGTCTATTGCCTAGTTTCAAACTAAAGAGGGCTGGGTTTGAGTCGGTTTATTATACGGATAAACAACACGAGACTCACATGTAGTAAGTGACAGCCCATTTAGATTAGGAACAATCTGAAGTCTGGTGTCGATTGGGCCAATATTGGACAAGATACAGCTGTTTATAAACTTGAAAATTAATAAGAAATGTATGGATTGCGGGACACACCCTCTGGACGTCTATATATTTCTTAGTAAATTTTGGAGTTTTTGAATGGCTGTATCTCGTTCGACATAGGCCCAATAAACATTAAGCTTGAGAATGTTGCTAACCTCAATGTGCTCTTTCTGACTATGTGGGTCTCGTGTTGTTGTTTAACCCATAATAAAGGGATTCGTACCCAGCCTCTGTCGGTTTGAATCTGATACCTGAGGAGAACAGAATGTCGAAAATGTTTCGGGGTGGGGTGGGGAAAGGTGAGGCGAGGAGAGTTGGTATGACTATATTAGTTAAGTATATTTTAGGTCACTTACAGTGCACCATAAGGGGTTTTCGCTTCAATACTAGCCTTTCCATTGCTTACTTTTAAAATGTACCAGTAGGAAGTATCAACTTGCAAACTTTCGTTGTCACTGCGAACACTCAGAACAAGTTCACTCAAGGTTTGGTTAGCTCTGAGATGGTGATCCACGTTTTCCCCAACAATTTGCTGCCGAATTATTTCCAAGTAGCGAGTGATTCCACGTTTGAGGACGCCCGATGTTGATGAGGTTTTGAAGGTAAAAACTGGCGAAATCGGAAGAGGCGGTCCGGAGAGATAGATGGCGGTCGGTAAAGGCCAAACTGACGCATTTGAATTCACAAAGAGAAAAACGCTAAACAATGACAAAATCACAACGGAGTTTAAAACACTCATCTTTGGAAGCCCTTTTGAAACTACCCAGGTAAAAGTCCAAACTACCACCATAAAAGCTAACGATGCAGGATGAGGAAGGCAGACGGCAAGCAGCCGACCGGAAATTGAACAATCGGCATGCCCAATGCTCGCTCGGTTCTATTCGGCTTCCATTCGGCATATCCGAGGCTTGTCCGTATCCGTTTAGTGCCTGGATGCCAAGTTAAAAGCGTGGTTACAATGCAGTTAAAAGGTGACTCAACCATTGCTAGAAGAGCGTTTATAGGGTGTGTTCCTTTCGGCGAATCCAAAAACGGATTTTTGATCCTAGATTTACCAGATTTCGCGGTCGAAAGGAACGTGAAATCCGAAATTGGATTTGTAACCTTGGTAACCTTTCGCCAACGCGTGCAATTATGCACGACAGCCTCTCAAAAAATGACGTGTTTTCTACTGTTTGACAAATTATGCGATTATACCGTGCAGAATTTAGCGGTCGGCAGTTCGAAAAGCGACAATGGAACATACAAAACAGACAAAGAAAGAAGCACATTAAAATTGAAAATTATCTAAAGAATGTCGGCCAGTTGGATCCAGTTCCATAGCTTGGATTTTTTTATGTAACACGATCGAGTGCCTGTCGCGTCTACAAGCGAGCTTGTAGTTAGATAGCATTTCATCAGTTACTACTTATTTCTGATTTCAAGCAATCTTTAGAGACAAATGGTTAGTATGTGGATATTTTAAAGTACCAGGAACAATCTTCTAATGTTTTCAGATGTTTTGCGGCAAATGACAGCAACGAGGAAACTCTACGGCCTCTATGGGAATACTTCAACTGGAAATACCGCTGGATCATCTGACTTATTTCGGATCCACTGTGAATGCAGGGGCGGATCCAGGATTTTTCTTAGGAGGGGGTGCACCACTAACTGACTGATGACGTAAAAAATTTTAAAAGCGAATACGAAGAAGAGGGCTTTTGACTGGGAAATAACATAATGTGAACTGCTGAGAATACATATCAAACGATAGAGCAGATTTTGAATGTCTGTCAAGCGACTGCACAGTGTTAATTAGAAAGCGGCGCAGGTCATCCCAGGGNGGGGGGGGGGGGTGCGCACCCCCTGCACCCTCCCCCTGGATCCACCCCTGGAATGAAACAGCGTAGATCACTAATCCGTTAATCTGGATTTAGATTCTTCGGATTTCAAATCCAATGAATCCTTTTTCAAAAAGGATTCACCAGATCAAAAATCCGGATTTGGATTTGCCGAAAGGAACGCGAAATCCGTTCTTAGATCTAAAATCCGTTTTTGGATTCACCGAAAGGAACACACCCATAGTTGTATTTTCTTCACAGATCATGACACTTCAGTGGACATTCGCACCTGGTTTTCTTTACGCTGAGATAGGCGTTCTCCTTTTATTCTGTTTGCCTTTTATTTCTCCTAAACGGTAAGATTTTGCTTTCAGGATTTCCTCACACGGCATCACAGCTGCATCAGCTGTATTCTTTTGCACTGAAATGGCTTTGTTTTTATCTTACACTTTCAGATGGAACCAAATTTTCAACTCCAGGATTGTATCAACGTTATTTGAATATGGAAATTTCTATTTCAACGTGGTTGTGATAGTAATGGCCCTGTTACTTGCTGGTAAATTTTGTTTATACATTCAATAATAAAATGCGAGTTTGGAATGAGCTTTGGTGTAGCCAAGCCTAGTTGAAGATCGTCAAATATAGAGATTTATTAATACTTTTATAAATTGATTCTGATTGCCGAGAGCCCCTTGTTAGTATTTTAATTTTTCAAGTCTTTCTCAAGTTTTTTGATTCCGCAATAGGTCGCTGATTAGACTTGCTCACAAGTCGAGCTTTTGAGCGCGTAGCGCGACACTGAGCGGGAAGCGCGATCGTACGAGCACCGAGCGCGAAGCGCGAGCGAGCTAGCGAAAGCTCGACTTGTTTCCCTTGCAGAGAATCACATCAAGTGACGTCATTTTGGCGCGAACTTCTCAGGATGCTGCACGCAGCGCTACCTGTCAAACTGTCAAAATACTTTTCGCACCTCGCGAAATCGATCAATGGTTTGGTAATGGAATGGAGGAGGAAAATACACCAACTAAAACTTTTATTTGGGTTGCTGTGCCGGAAAACATTTGCCTACAATGTGGCAAACTGGTAGACAATCCAGCGTTACGGAGAAAGTTATTTTCAGGGAAACAGAAGACAAAACCTTGTCAAAGTCTGGAGCTTCTTCTAGGAGATGTGTTTCCACGAGACAACCGAACTGGGAACTATTCGCCGAAACTGCTCGGAACGCAACGAAACGCGTACAAAGAAAATTTTTCAAGTTAGGGCTAACTTTTCTGGACCAAAAGGAAGTCTAGGAAACAATTTGCAAAGCTCTGTCGTAGTAAAGCGCTTGACAAAAGCTGAAAGAGCTGAGGTACCCGAACAAGGTGCGATTGGGCGAAGAGATTCGACAAAGAGAAGAGCTTTATTTGCAAGTGAAGCAGATTTAGCTTTGTCTGATTAATTATAAGCTTATTGTACTTCTGGTTAAGAGATTATGGTAACAGATATCTTCAAAAAATAAACGTTGCATCTAAGAACGAGCCATAACACAATAGATGCTTTTGTTATTTTAAATGATATGGAAATTTTCAGGTGACCTTGGATTCCGGGTCCTTCCACACCAGACCAGAAAACCATGCGAACGACTTTGAGAAAGTCTAGTCGCTGATCTCCATGGTAAGCTTAATGAGCTAACATTTTTTGTTTTTCCGCTTTTCAATTAAACTGTTTAGAAACTCTTGATGAATGCAAGATATCTATATTGAGTACGCATCGATCTAAGCTGCTGAAAACTTAATAAAACTTTGCTTCCGGGAAAGTAAGAAAGTCTCTTTCACTTTTTACTTTGGAAGTTATTAAAGGGCGAGACATCGTGTTCTATACTTGGCAAGGATGTACTTTGTTAACCTATTCGCCCCTGAACCGCCCGTAACCGCCTGTGCGGATCCAGGTCCTTTCTACCCTTTGTGACGTCATCAGTTTTAACGGTAGTGTGAAGAGATCTTTCAAACCATACCAGAATGAGCACAATTCAGTCAAGGACACCGGAGAAAGAAGCAAAAAACCACGTGACATTGACCTGAAAATCTCCATGAAAATCTTGTTCCATTGCTCACCTACCTTTCCTTTTACCTAATCCTAAGATCCTAAAAGCTTTCCTAAAAACTCTTCCCACCAAAATGAAGCCTACTAAATGCCCAGCAAGAGAAAAAAAAAATGAGGCAAGAAAAGCGAAAAAAGAAGGGAGGAGAGAAAGCGAAAAGTAAAAGTCAAGACTGCTGCTCTCGAAATTTTGCTTTCTGCGCATGCCCGAACTTCGCAAGCTGATATTTTGCATCTGGATCAGAAGGCCGC